TGCTCTTGAAGTACTGGGTGGACGACATGAACAGAAATTCTTTAGCCTTGGTATCTCACTGTATATACTGGTAGTTGGTTCACCAAATTTCATATCAGGAATATAATTTCCAATGAAAATCTTGAAAAGAAAACGGCGTGAATCATACTAGAACCAATAGTGAAGGTATCTCGCCCGACAAGTGTCCCATTGTGCAGCAGGGTACGCCCAGTCGTCATTCTACTGCCGCTAGTGTTAAGAGGCTAACTTCTTCTCAGGAGGTTAATTATTACATCATTATTAGTAGTAGTAGTAGTAGTAGTAGTAATAGTAGTAGTAGTAGTAGTAGTATTGCTGTTGCTTGATCAACAAAAACAGCAAATTTTGCTGGAAATGGAAGTACCAGAAGTTCACAAATAGTGTGACCTGAGGTAGCATGTTTTCGTCATGATTCGAGAACAATTTTGAGTATACGAACATTAAGCGTCCAATCTTAACACTGATCCAAATCCTCTCCACCAACTTCGAAAAGATCAGTACAAGAAAAACAATGGAAATGTCCTTAAATCCCTTAATTGACAACATTTTCTACACTTCCCTTTTTAAACTATCATAGTTTTCCTGTTTTTTCTTCTTCTTTATCAAAGGGTTGATAAACCGTAAAAAATGGAATCAATTAATCACTCTTCTTTGTCAAATTCTCTGTTGTCTACGGGACATACAATATCTATGATGATGCATGCTTTGTTTTTTTTTATTTTTTGTTTTTGTTTTTTGTTGGGTTTTTTTGTTGGTTTTTTTTTGTCTACCGCCACAATGTCTGATTTTCTGTTCAATATTTCAGGGTCACATTGGATACTCCAGGAAATTTGGGACTTGTCATTTTCCATGACACCTTCTGGAATTTGTTCATAAACGTTTATACCCTCACTCCAATGCATAATTCCGAATGCATTCATCCTTTCAATATTATCGTGTCTCCTTTTGCATTCCCTCTGCGCCAATTTTGGCCATTCATTGACATGTTTCCATGACTCTCTTTTATCACCGCACATCCTGCCTTTATTATTACCAGCTGTGTGGTACATTTTACGCTTAATAAAGTTTTTTTTCCTATATGCTTGTTATTATATTATTATTATTTTCTCGTTGAGGTGTTATATCAGGAACAGCTGGAGGTTTTTGTTAGAGATCAACTAACAGCAAGCCTTCTCACTATTCTAGCACTCTCCTCAGTATTTCTCTTTCTACTAATACTTTTAGAATGGTTCCAGCTACTCATCAACTGACAGCAAACCTTCTCTCTATTCTAGAAGTCTCTTCATTATTCTTCTTTCTGTGATGCTATTGTCTTGATGGTTTAGATATTTTTCTTCGATTGCCAGATCTACCAATACTTTTAGAATGGTTCCAGCCACTCATATAATGAATCCAATTCTTACATTCCAGTTTAACGATTTCGTCAGTATCCTTGGAAATGTCGCCTTCATCTGTATGTTTCCAACAGGTGTGTGGTGGTTGTCACTCTGGATCAAACCCCAGAAAGTTTACTCATATCTCCTGTATTTTCCTCCGTATTCTTGTTAATCCCGGTACTACTGTAGTCTGAGTGGTCTTGGACTTTCTCTCGAACACCTAATTCTTTTAAATCTTTTTATTGACTCCCCGATTTTTTTTATTAAAGTTCACGTGATAAAAGGCATAAGAGCCATTCAAGGATGGAGGTTATTGTAAAATTGTTATGGTGAACGAGATGTGTAATATCAGTGAAAATGGGAGGTGGTAGGTAAGTGAAGATTATGAAGAGAGGGAGGATAGATAATGTTTGACCCTTGACTTGAAGTGATTGAGATTGTAAAAGCATCCACGCGGGAGTTTGTTCCACAAAGCAGCAATTCTTCTTACATTTGGAATACGGAATACGGGGTAAATGAGGGTGACTCAACTACGTGAAAGTAACGTGATGTGTTCTATCTGTAAAGGCCTAAACTGGGGAAACTAAAAAATGGAGATCATCTGAACTTTTATCAAAAGAAATAGCGATATGATACGCTTGCGACTTTTACTTTATGAAACAGACTTCCGGGATTATATTTCCCCGATCAATACGATAACCTCTTCTCGTCTAGCCTACATATCCTCATAATATGCATGCTCTTTCTGTCTATATCTCTGAAATGAGGTATTATGATTACTTGCATTATTTAGGCTGCTATCCTCAATTTCATTGCCATATTCATAACATTTCAGCCGTTGTACGCTCCGACCTTCTTCAGGTGATTTGTAATTTCGAACCGAGCCCATTATTCTGCCCACCGGGAAATATTAGTCTAGTTCCACGTGTCATGCCTCTCCCAGATCTCTCAGTTATTGCCTTTTAACTCAACTCTCCAATTTTGGTTCAGCATTTCTGTGACCTGGTATTGAACTCACAACTCTTTGAGTCTAGTCACTTGATCTAACCAACGTCTTTATCCACTGGGCCATGTGTCTTTGCGTTGTGAGTTCAATACCAGGACACATTTAATTCAGTTAATTTAGTAACCCTCTACGTTGAGTGGCTCAATCATATAAAAGGAAGCTGCAAAGTGAAGAATAAGTCATCCCCAGCAAGATCGCGCAGAGTATTGGAACTCAGAATTGTCATTCTTCTAAATTGATTCTCCTCCCAAAACTAACATCCCAGTCTGTTATTTAATCCTTAGCTGGGGTAAGATATATTCATGCTTTTTCCAATGGAATTAGTGCGAAGTGAACGCAATAGATTCCCTTGGAATTTGAACTCGACTGATTTCTCCTTCTGCGCCGATAATTGCTACACAACCTGCAAATCCAAAGTATGCAACATTAGCTTGCTAACCAATGCTCCACGGTAAGGTACCCATAGTTATTTATTAAGATTGATTTCATTTTGTTCGATTTTTTAGGTAAGGAATTCTTCATATTTTTTTTACTTATTTGGATTATTGTTGTCGATCAAGAGAAGATGGTTGGAAGATTGTGTTGCGTCAATCTAACAAATGCTCTGGGAATCAGCATGTAAAATCTTTACCCAAACACTGACCTCCGGTACCAGTTGGAAGTGTGAAACTGTCTTGACTACAATGTGACGTCACCCCGGCCTCTCTGCCCCCGTGCTATCCTGTGATGACCAATGTGACTTGGTATTGGTCGCTGCACCAAATATGACGTTCTAACCCTTGGCCGATTCGGATAGAAAGCTGGTTAGATTCGGTATCAGCTTTGTCGTTCCCAGCTCGCCTCCAACGTCTGGTTACCGAAGTAACTGCTTTGATTTCTAGTCTAACCTACCCACGTTGTGATTTGATCTTAGGTAGACGAAATCAATCAGTCGCCGGGTCGCAATGCAAGCCGAATCTGAGCAAAGGTAACACCGCACAAGTATATGTAAAAGAAAATAAAGTAACAACTCGAAAAGTTCAAATGTGTTAAAAAAAAGAACAATATTTTATATCTGGTTGCTGAATACAGGACTGATTTTCTCCCAAGCCGCTATTATGGATTCGTGACACTTTGTGTTTATTAGCCGAGCCTTAACATCTTAAATTGTTTTTCAAGAAACTGGTTTTTGGTGTCTTCAGGCGATATTCGTAAAACTTGTTTTGGTGGTGTGAGTCTAAGTCGTTCTTTAAAAATAAATTGTTTTTGGTTAGAAGTCTAAGTCGGAATGCGTGGAAATCTTTCAGTCCGCTCCTGCGAGGCTGGTCTCCGAGCTCACAGCTCAACTCTGTATGCTCTGTCACTCTGTCTGCGTCTGCCCAACTGCCACTGTCTCTGCCCAACTGCCACTTATATGGACGCCGACCAAAACCGGGTGGTGGCCTGCTGTGGTTTGGGTTCCTCGATAATTCCAAATCAGCAATAAGGATTTTCTCAGAGGCGTCAACAGGTTTCCCTTCTTTCTCATATGTTTACCTTCGCCCATCGCTCACGCCACCATTCAGCCAATGAACGCTCGGCAGCGTGGGTGTGGCTAGTCTGGCCTCAGTTTTCAATTATCGCTCAAAGAAAAAAAATTATCTTCCTTTTTCTTTTCTTTCTTTTCCCCAACTGGGACCCCCACGACTCGTAGTGTGGTCATTAAGTCTCTATCTTAACTGACTGTCATCTGGAATTCATCAACGAGATTTTCGTCAAATGATTATCAGAATCTCCTTGTATCCTCAACGTCTTCGTACTTATGTCGCCAACAATCCGTCCAGGTAACAAACTTTTATCATGGCAAGGTCTGGTCATAAAACAGATGGTCCCTTTCCAAAACCAAATGATATCTCCGAAAGATAGTTAATGGTTTATCCTTTTTCTCTTCCTCCTCCCTTTTTCTTTGGGGTGTTCTCAGCTGATCCCTTTATCGGGCGTTGCTCGACCTAAATCTGATTATCTTTTAGCATTCTGCTTTGTAAGCCACTTGACCAATTTGAAATTTTCATTATTACCATGGGCAGATTGCTATCTTTTAATTGCCGCGTCATAGCATAAATTAATTCCGACAGATCCGAGATCTTACGAATTTCCTATCTTCTGCGATAAAAATACTTTTTTCGCAAATGAAAATAAAATCTTGACTACTTTTCTTTTGTTAAAAAAAATAACATCGCTCAGTATGTCTTTCGTGATAGCTTCTTCTCGCCTTAAGTATTTCTCGCTTTTAATTTCCACGCTTAATTAGTTAGCCAAACGCTAAATAGTGTCACAAGATTTCTACTTATTTTTTTAAAAATATTTTGTTTAACTCGGCAATATATAAATTTTTTGTTGGTTAGTTTTGTTTATAGGCATATCAACCTCTATGGGCTATTTAATGCTGAAATTTAAATATTTTAATAATGGTTTTAGCGATACAAGTCTCACTAATTAACCCATAGTTTGGGGAGAACAAACCGGTTAATACCTTTCCCAAGGTTATTTGCGCGTAAGTGAATATAACAAAACAAAGGTGAATTTGAACTCGGCTCCGCGAATAACAATTTCGAGCCGATATCCATTACACCATACGCAAGCTTACGGCACCTGATATTCACAAGCGGTCACCCTTCTAGATACTGACCAAACTCAACGTTGCTTAACATCGGTGATCGTACGGGAACCGGTGTTTCAATGTGATGTGGCCGGAAACCCTTTAAATTTTTTGTAGATGTCTACAAAAAGAAATGCATTTCTCTCTTTCTTCTTTATTTCTTTCTTTCTTTCTTTCTTTCTATCTATCTATCTATCTATCTATCTATCTCTCATTTTTCTGCCTTGCTGTATATTTTTGTATCGTTTTCTTTCTCACTTTTTTCTTTCTTTCTTTCTTTGCTTCTCTTCATTGTATTTTATTATTATGCGTAATTCTCTTCTCTCTCTCTTTCTCCCTCTCTCTCTTTATCTCTACATCACATTCATATTTATTTTCTCTCTCTTTAAGTTTTCTCTTTGTATCTGCCTCTTTCTAAATAGAAAGTCAAAATGACACAAATATTTTTGTTTTGTTTGTTTATCTAAAACAATTTTTTACTGAAGATGAGAAAAAAAAGTAAAGATCTTATTGTTATTTAAATTTGAATTTCTTGTCATTCGACTGCATAATATAAAAATATGAGGGCGTCAACCAGGAAGAAAGAAAATCGGAGATGAATGACTCCGGGAGGTAGGGATTCAAATGTGAATGCATCAAGGGAGTGGGGGGGTTCAAATGTGAATGCATCAAGGGGGGGGGGGTTCAAATGTGAATGCAACAAGGGAGTGGGGGGGTTCAAATGTGAATGCATCAAGGGAGGGGGGGTTCAAATGTGAATGCATCAAGGGGTGGGGGTTCAAATGTGAATGCAACAAGGGAGTGGGGGTTCAAATGTGAATGCATCAAGGGAGTGGGGGGTTCAAATGTGAATGCATCAAGGAAGTGGGGGGTTCAAATGTGAATGCATCAAGGGAGTGAGGGGTTCAAATGTGAATGCAACAAGGGGGGGGGGGGGTTCAAATGTGAATGCATCAAGGGAGTGGGGGGGTTCAAATGTGAATGCATCAAGAGAGTGGGGGGGGTTCAAATGTGAATGCATCAAAGGAGTGGGGGGGTTCAAATGTGAATGCATCAAGGGAGTGGGGGTTCAAATGTGAATGCAACAAGGAGTGGGGGGGGTCAAATGTGAATGCATCAAGGGGAGGGGGGTTCAAATGTGAATGCATCAAGGAGTGGGGGTTCAAATGTGAATGCAACAAGGAGTGGGGGGGGTCAAATGTGAATGCATCAAGGGAGCGGGGGTTCAAATGTGAATGCATCAAAGGAGTGGGGGGTTCAAATGTGAATGCATCAAGGGAGTGGGGGTTCAAATGTGAATGCAACAAGGGAGTGGGGGGTTCAAATGTGAATGCATCAAGGAGTGGGGGTTCAAATGTGAATGCATCAAAGGAGTGGGGGTTCAAATGTGAATGCATCAAAGGAAGGGAGGGTTCAAGGTGAATGCAACAAGGAGTGGGGGTTCAAATGTGAATGCATCAAGGGAGTGGGGGGTTCAAATGTGAATGCATCAAGGGAGTGGGGGGTTCAAATGTGAATGCAACAAGGAGTGGGGGGTTCAAATGTGAATGCATCAAAGGAAGGTGGGGTTCAAATGTGAATGCAACAAGGAGTGGGGGGTTCAAATGTGAATGCATCAAGGGAGGGGGGGGTTCAAATGTGAATGCATCAAATGAAGGTGGGGGGGTCAAATGTGAATGCATCAAGGGAGTGGGGGTTCAAATGTGAATGCAACAAGGGAGTGTGGGTTCAAATGTGAATGCAACAAGGGAGTGGGGGGTTCAAATGTGAATGCGTCAAGGGAGTGGGGGGTTCAAATGTTAATCACGGTTCGTCGCTTAATCTCGGTCATTCATGTTGGCGACGATATTTTTAGCTCATTTTATAAAATAATTAAATTTAATTCGATTTTCGAGTCACCATCTAATTTTTTATCTTCTCGGAAGCATTTGAATCTAAAATCTTCTGATATTATTTACATTTTCTTTTTATTTGGTATGCTATATTGAAAACTATTAACCGAAATTCTAGATCTAATTTTCTTTCACAAATGGATCGCTGTAAATTTTAAAGTGTACTTAATATTGTCTGTAAACGTAAAAAAATTGCAGGTGGCGGTATTTCTCTTCTTTTATATGGTGTATCCCTTAAATATGTGGACGATCATAGCTCTCCACAACTTCCTAATATTTGCATTAGGTTGAGTCGTAAGTAGTTTCTGTTTTTGTTTACCAAATTTATTCTTCAAATAATAATAGATAAATTACATTCTGTTCAATTACATATTAACCATTATTTGTAATGAATTGTTGACAATAATCAGGCCGAACTTCGACAGCCTTTGAGCAAAATTTCGCTGGTTTTGATATGAACGTGTTGACGAACTCCTGAATCTGGTTTTCATTAAAAAAAATCTTTCCCCTTTCCATCGAAACTTTTTGCACTGATGTAATGAATATGCATACACCTGGGTTCCCCCTCACAGTAATATGATTGGCTGGTGTCAGCCATAAATACAGACTGATGTGGAGGTACAGGACGACGCCTATTGCCTACGCCTATTGCAGTTACCTGATAGATTGTCCTACCCGGTTACAGTAGTCAACAACCACTTTGCTACTTCGAACAAATATCTCCCTTTCCCGGACATATCATGCACCAATCCGAAAAGATAATAATTGGTTAGTGCAAGGTTAGCATGAATATGGCAGGTTAGGTGCCACGGAGCAACTGAGTTCCAAAATTATTTCCTTTGTTATTCTTGGTGTATACGGCCTTGAATTGCCATGGAGGATAAAACCTTTTTCTCTATTAACAAGCCTAATGTGCTTTTCAACAAAACGTTTCTGAAAATGTTGCAGCTGCTGGACGCATAAATGTGCATTTATTGTTTCATTGCATTCTAATGAAATTGAACTCTAAATGAATACTATTCCAACGGTCCCACCATGCGAACAGCATTAGATTTCTTCAAGGAAGCTCAGGTTTTGAGGTCATTTGTCAAGGTTTATCTTTGTCAATCCACTGCCTTTTGCGTTGAACATTGTTGTATATATTCCATTTTTCATCTTCTCTTATATTTAAGGAATGGTGATTATATGATGATATATTCGTCTTTACAATGGCTTCCCCGAAACGGAAATATAATTATAACTCAACCTAATAGATATAATTATAGACACAACGTTTCGACCAAGTACCTTCATCTAAAAAACCATCTGACATTGCAATGAAAAGGCTGCTCTGAGCCTAAATAATCTGAAGTCCTGCGAAAAGGTTACCTAATGGATAAATGCTTAAATAATAAAAGTAAATAAGGTTCACCTATCGTTCAGTTCACACTCCTCCCTGTTTTTTTTTTTTTGTTTTTTTTTTAAACGGAAGTAGATGTTAATCCCTTGTTTCCGGTTTAGAATTGGGTTTCTGGTTGCATCCAAAGTCTTTTACTTTTCTTTCACTTCCAGTAACCCCTTGCATCTTAGTGGAGTTGTTACCTTTCTTGGGGTGAGTTGATTAAAAAAAATAGTTTGAGTCGTAGAAATAAGACTTTCTTAGCCTTAGTTTTAGCGGAAGAAGTTTTCTATATTTACATTTTAATCTTTAATCTTTATTGAAAAAAAAGAAAGAAGTGTTACAGTGACCTAGTGATCGGGAATTCAATCGCTGGACAAGCTACTGATATCCATATACGCCTATGCAATAGGAACGAACAAGAAACGGAAACGCAGGAGGCAACAATAACATAATAATCAGCTAACAATAATGAAGATGGTCAGAGCGTTTTTGGTCGAAACGCCGTTGCCTACAGTAACATCAATAACAAAGATGAGATTATGACCATACAAAGTCGAAACACCTGTTCTCATCCGATCACCGAAGTTAAGCAACGTTGAAACTGGTCATTACCTAGATGGGTGACTGCTCGGGAATACCAGGTGCTGTAAGCTTGGATGTGCGGGTGATGTAATGGATAAAGGCTCAGGATGAGAAATCAGAGAGCCGAGTTCTAATTCCAGTCAGGTTTGTCATATTCACTTACGGGTAAATACCTTTGGAAAAGTATGAATCCACATCTTCTCCTCAAAGCTATGAGTTAAATAGTAAGAATTTTATCAGAAAACCATTAAAAATTATTTTAATCCCAAAATATGCTTCGGCTTTAAATAACCTTAAAAAGGTTGATAAACCGTAAAAAAAACAATCTGTAAGAAAGATGAGATCTATAGCCCGAATAAATCTAAATAAAGATTAATATATCCTAGCATAAAGCCACAGTAGTATGCCATCCAGGGAGGATCGAACTCACTACATGAAGAGCTTCTTAACCATCACCACAGATTTTTATAGTTATTTACTGAAGTTAACAAGAGCTCAAGAGATGCTCGAAATAATTATATCAGTTTGTTAGTTGAGCACAGCGAGATCCCTAATTTCAGCTTTGTGCCATGTCTAAGCTATGCTTAGTAAATCAATATATTAGTAGATTAGTCGCTAGTCATCACTATGGTAGGCGTGCATCATATTTATTTAATAAGGTTAGATTCGTGAGAAGCTAGGTTGCTCAACTGAAGCACTTTGCAAGAAGTGGAACACAATATAATCGAAAGGATTTTTGCTGAATGAGATTTTCAGTTACCTAAGGTTTTGAAAAAGAGAGAGTCTTTTATTTATTTATTTTTGTTACAAAATCATTTATTCTCTCATTGTTGGGACCAAGTTAAATAAATTCTGCTTTTCGGAATTTATATATTTTGGCTTCAGTTGGAACGAAATTTTATCATTACATAATCAGTTTACTTTTTTTTCGTGACATTTAACAAATATAATTTATATTTTTCAATTTCCACTGACATTGAAGGGGGGGGGTTCATTACATTAAATATGCAGTAAACTACTTTTCTTTTCTTTTGTTCACTTTTTCCGCATATGTGTGAGAAACATATGCTCAGACATAGAACACACTAATATAACCTATAAATATTAGATAGATAGATAGATAGATAGATAGATAGATAGATAGATAGATAGATAGATAGATAGATAAAAAGAAGAAAAAGAAGGGGACAAATCAAGTGAGTGGTAGAGAGAGGACTAAATCAAACGATGCAAAGAGAGAATGAGAAAAAGATGAATGGAGAGATAGGTACAAAAGAAAAAAGAGAGAAGAATATGAAGGTGAAAGAAGAGCGAGAGAGAAAAAAATGAGAGGCACGTATAAAAATAAAATACACTCAAGAAAGGAAAGAAAGAAAGAAAACTATACAAAAAAATGTGGACATGAGAGATATACAGAAAGATAAATATGAGAGAGACCAAGAGCGATACAAAAAGAGAAGAGAGGGAGAAATAAAAAGTAAGTCATATAAAAGAGAGAAAATAGAAAAAAAAAGAAAATAGTCATATAGGAATAAAGTGTCGTTGGGTTTGAACACGGATCGCCAGAGATCAAGCACAGTCGACTTCATCTTGAAATAATTAGATCACGTGACTGGTAAAGGAAAATATATATATATGGGAATTAACCGCAAGTATTGTTCGAAGGTGTTACTATGAGGCTATGCCGAAGGGCAGATTTTCGTCCGGGAAGGTAGACAGACCCGATCGCGTTTATGCGGGGTCTACGGGGATTTTTTGGCCGAGCCTACGGGCTCGAGAACCCCACTTTAAATTCGGCCTTGGGCTACATGTGACTGTGTGGGGCAGTTACTAAATAGCGTCGAAGGTGTTACTATTATTGTATCTGTGATTCGCAAAGTTTCTCCTACAAACGGGCATTAAAATAAATGCTGAATAAAAAAACAGAAGAGTTCGAGAAAAAAAAGAAGAGAATGTACAAGACAGAGATACAAAAGGAGAAAGAATAAAATATATATACAGAGAGATGGGGGGAGACAGAATAGCTATAAAAAGAGAGAAAAGAGAAAAGTGAACGAAGAAGAGATAGCTAGAGAGAAAATGAGAGAGGGTTGAGAATAGAGATATAGAAAGATAGATCGAGAGAGAAAGAGAGAGAACCAAAAACAGGAGAGCAATATAGAAAGAGAGAGCAGGCCGGAAAAGTAGCACAAAGAGTAAAGAGATTGATAAAGATTACCATGAAGAGAGAGAGAGAGAATAAAAAAAAGAGACATAAAGAAAGATTATGGGAAGAGGAAAAGGGGGAGATCAAGACAGAGTAAGAGAGAGAAAACAGAAGGAATAAAAGAAAATGAATAAGAAGTATAGAAGGAAAATAAGTGAAAGTGAAAGTGAAAGTGAAAGAACAAAGCGAGAGATATACAAAAGCGAGAGAGAGAAGAATAAGAGATCGATACAGAATGAGAATGAGTGAAAACAACAGAGAGAAAAAAGGAGATACCAAGAAACGTAAGGAAAAGGAATAAGAGAGAAACACAAGGATTAAATTCGAGAAAACAAAAGATAAATACAAAGAAACAGAGAGAGAAAAAGAATGAGAAATGGACACGGGGGATACTTTGAGAGAGGCAGAGAGAAAAATGAAAGGGGGATACAAAGTGAGAATGAAATAAAACGAGAGGGAAAGAACAAAAAGAAAGACACAAAAGGGAGAGAAAAAGCGAGATACAAAAAGAAAATGAGAGAGACAAGTGTTAGAAAGAGCAACAAGAGGTACAAACGAAAGAAAGAAAGAAAGAAAGAAAGAAAGAAAAGAAAGAAAGAAAGAAAGAAAGAAAGAAAAAAAGACGATAAAAAAGAATAAGAAACAGGTGCAAAGAGAAAATGAAAGAGAACAAGACAGAGAGTGTTCGAGAATAAAGGAAAGATTCAAGCAGAGAATGTGAAAGAAAGACAACAATAAGAGCGAGAAAAAAAAGAGATAGAGAAATAGAAAAACTAAAAGAAAACACTGAAAGCAAGAGAACTATATCTATAATTCTCAAAATGTGTGTGTGTGTATGTATGTGTGAGTATATATGTATTTCCGCAGTTTTCATCCGATTTCGATGAAAAATATTTTGTTTGATAGATAATTTTTCAGTGCCGGTTCGGAGTCAAAATTGGCTGGAAAAAATTACAACCTTGAAGGTGAAAAAAATCGAAAAAACTGATTTTTAACACTTTGTGCAAAAATCAAAAGCAAAATTTAATGTCTGTAAAAAACAACGTACAATCAATTTAGAGAGTTGAAATCTAACGCAAAAGATTATTAGAATTATAAAAAAAGATATTATATTATAAATAAAAATTATCGTATATTATTATTATGACGGTCCATGGGAGAGGTTCCTTCCTTACAAGAATGAAAACGCAAAAACGACCCTTTTCAGGGTCACCCCCATTCAAATTATTAACCCCCTATTTAGGGATGTGCCGCAGTTGCACCCAACTGTTGTTACTGATATTGATTTTCAAGTGGGCTGACTTTAAACTTAAACTGCTCCAATTGAGCTGCAAAATTCCTAGTAATGAAACACCCGGGCGAAGGCGGGTTATCCTGCTGGTAGAGAATAAGGAAGTGATGATAAAAAGAAAGAAAGAAGACAGTACAAACAAAAGAAAAGAAAGAAAAGATAGCGAGAAAAAAAAGAGAAAAAAGAACGAACAAGATATAAGTAAATCCGTATGTATATTCTGCACATTTGGCGTGTTAGAGTAAGCTTGGACTTATCAATAACCAAAAAAAGAAAGAGAAAAAAAAGAGGGGTGGATAAGAGAAGCTTCTTTACCTTCATTTTCATTGGCTGCATATTAGATGCAGGTCGCTGAATCGACCTCTTCCATCAAGTAAGGCTAAAGAAATATGCCAAACAATACGTGCAAACTCAAACAGTGAGACTCTTAACGAAACTAATGCAAAAGTGCGCAGGTGTCACCAGAAACATGTTTTTTCCCTCTATTTTCATATCCAGTTTCCTGAAAGCAACACAAATTTATGTATATCCCAAACTTACACATGAACGAATAAATTCGCTTACAAAATAAATCCAGCAACGTGAGTACGCATATCTATTTATTATGAACTTAGTAAGACACAAGATTAAATGCCAGGCTAGGAAGACTCTGTTGCGCCAAATTTGTAAGTTTATCAAGACAACCAATTTTCCTGTAAAAGAAATTCGAAACCTGGAGCTTTAACAAAGCCAACACACCACCCAGTAACGTCATTGAAAATTATACCACTAAGTAATCCGGCATCATGTCTACTTTGTCCTTTCAGAACTTGGACGATCATGGCTTTCCACATTTTCCTCTCTTTTGTCGTTCTAAGTAACTGTTTACACTTTGGTATCCATTTTTTCCATATTTTTGCCATTAATTCACACAAACACGTTAACTAAGTTACTTCCTTACATTCTCCAAATTCGTCTCCGCGTCCTTGTGGTTGATGAATTATTTTCCACCCTACGATAAACGTTACAAGCCATCCGCTGCTCTACCGTTGTTTCCATAGAAAGTGTCCAGACGAACTACCCTCCTTAGTTTCACCAGCTTTAACCATTACGGTTAAGACCCACCATGTTCCGCACATTGCAGCGAACCAGCCTCATTCCCTTCGTACATCCATTGTTGAGATGTAATTTCCACTCGAGCAGATTCTTTCAACGAACAGCTGCTTTGTGGAATGGACTCCCAAGAGGATGCTTCCCCGTCCACTAAAATCTTAACCTGTTCTTCCCCATATATCCCCATAAACTCTGCCTCTTACCCTGTAACCTTCTACTTAGAGCGACTCTTGGGCGTTGTACAAGGTGAATATCACTGTAAAAAAAGTCCTTTCCTTATATAGTGTCCCAGAAATGTCAACCATATCTTCCTGTTAACCGCAGTTTTCTTGTAGTTTCTATTGTTCTGAAAAACTTTCTCGTTCCTGTCTTTTTCTGATTTTCAGGATGTGTATTTCTAGTTTCCATCTTATTTAAAACTTCCTCATTGCTGACATGCTCAGTCCATGGTATTCTCGGCATCCATGTGTGGAATCACGA